GTACGACATGAACGACGACTTCGGAGATGAGTACGGGTTTTCGTACAACAACATACATTTCCCGTCTCTTAGCAAGGTTTCGCTGTCTTTGGATGTGTTTCATACCCCGCCACAAAAGCGATTTAATGAGACTATTAACACTTACGTCGATACAAGGAAAAGGATACGGATGGTACAGTGTGTTGAAGATTTTGAGAGACGATATGGCCCATCTCCGTTGCCATACGTCGACAGGAGTAGTAATCTTGGAAGAGATGTTCTACGAACATCGGCCATACATAAACCGGAAGTGCAGATTGGTGAGAAGGCAAAGTTGCCTCCCCTGAAAGGAAAACATGGCGACTTCCATGATATGTCGTATCCTTTCAAACTTCACAAGGAAGGGACGTTTAATGCTGTGTCTGCGATGCCGGTCAGATATACGATTAAGCCGATGAGTCTTTGGAGGCAAAGAACAGATACATTCCTCTACGGAAAGAAGCTAAATATGCACAGCAGAGTGAATGCACAAGGGAGATAACTCTAATCCGTTGTGACTAAGTCATGTGAATACGGACGACTTGAAATTAACGTATCCAACTGTGCTCCCATTGTCTTGAAAAGAAGACACTCTCGTAGAGCGAGTGAATGACATTAGTTTACCATGACATTTTGCTTTGAGTTGAGCATGACATTGAGCTTTTCTGACATGGACGCGTTATCTTTGCATGAAAGAGATATGGTCTCCACTGTTTGACATTCTTGTGAACCGATTTTTAAACATAGCACACGTTGTTGTCAGTATTTATGTGACTTTATACATTGCATCATAGTTGTGCTATAGACAAGAGATAGACACATCTCGAACGTTATAACTTTTTATTTTCGATCGATGTTGCTTGTTGTTAATTCATTGAGTGTGAGTGGCGGAATGAAATAACGACGTATCAGCAATTGCATAGACAAACGCTTAGTCTCGGAAAATGTATAATGTTGATGGAAACAAATAACTACCATTTATATTGGAAAGGAGTCCCATGGAGATGGGAGATTCAGAATCTGAGGAAAATCTAGGTTTGCTACATTTAGAGCTTTTGCATTCAAGAAAGGAATGGATGGATTTTGTGTGTGTGTGTGTGTGTGTGTGTGTGTGTGTGTGTGTGTGTGTGTGTGTGTGTGTGTGTGTGTGTGTGTGTGTGTGTGTGTGTGTGTGTGTGACAGGCTAGTAATTATGCAACTCCTTGCGTTTAACTGTACGATGAAACTCACGTCTAATGAAACAGTTCATTGAGTAATACTATGTATTTTATCATCATCGACATAATCAGCATTATCTTCACCATTATATTCCAAACAGTTTTAAGGGGCGAGGGGTAGCGTAATGGTTAAATCGTTCGGTCGTAACAGACGGCACTTGCTTCGATTCCACAAATGGAATAATATGTGATGCTCATTTCTATTGTCACCGTCGTCATACAGCTGGAATGATGCTAAAAGCGGCGTAAACTCATACTCACTCACGCACACATTATTATCATTATGTTTTACTTAGAATATATCTGATAAAGATATTTTTTGTCATTTTCGATATCTTTCGTAGTGTTGATGTTGTACTTTCTTGTGTAATAAACTATTCAGTTATGAACATAAAGCTGGCTTCATTAAATATCCTTAAGGCTATTCTTCTCTCGTACAATATATATAGAACGATGTCTTGTTCGGAGGAAGACTGAGCGAGTCAGCAACACTATTCAGATGGCTCTTGTTTGATAAGGGACGGTTAGGTTGCCTAGTGTACATGGTCATGAAGAAGGCCCGGGTTTGATTACCCAAATGGGTAAATGTATCAAACCCATGTCTGGCTTCTCAGTCATGATATAGATTGGATGATTCTAAAGATGTGTAAAATACTCGCTCTTGTTAAAGTATCGAAACTGCATACATAATACCTTATTCCTGTAGCTAAACTGAAGTGTGATTATAAAATGTTATTCAATAAATACTATATGCTAAGTCTTCTGCGAATCATTTCTTACACTTAACAGACAAATCATACTTTGACAAGAAATCTTCTCAAGTAACATTGCTTAACTTTAAATTTGGAAGCAGACACTGAATACATAGAAACCCAGCTAATCCGGGCGCAACAGTTCGCAATGATGTCGCCCGGGTAAACAAATTTTCGGATAGAAGGACAATGGGTACGTTGTCACATTGATCATAAAAAGACGTTACCAACACCATTCGTCCGGGGTGCGAGGTGTACGGATTAACGGAGTCCGTACTAATAAGGGTTAATTGTTTTTTTCAAGTAGATCCTGCTTATTACAGTTGGTCAATTCAAGGATATCACATACAGTATTACTCTTATCACTTACACGACTTATTGTGCATATAACCGGCTGTTGTCAACTCCGGATGTAACGAATTCGGTACATCCGAAATTAACAATTAACCAAGCTAGTGGTTAGAAGCCGCTTCAGAAAAGTCAATTATTTGAGGAAGGTTACTGTTAAGCGAGTCAGAATTCGTACCTCTAATTGAAAAGAAAAAGAATACAATAACTCTTTCATATCCAGTCATATCCAAATCATCCTCTTTCTGCCGATACAGTTAAACACATTCTCTCGGATCGGCGACATATCTATATTTCAACATGTTGAAATCAACAAAACCGTTATTTGACCGACGGAAGACCTTTATTCGTAAGGCGTGCAAACCACATGGCTTAAGTATGGTATAACAATACTTTGGCAATTGGAGTCATATTTTCCATTAAATCGGATACAAAAACTCGGGTATGAATATCCTCCAACAATATGGGTTTGCTATCACACTGAGAGCCTAGGGTCAATGTACACCGCCCTGTGTTATGCATTGATACACTCGCCGAAGCAATGGGATACGCAGCATGGCCATTATTGACTGAATATGGTCATTTTTCTAGGTGGAAATTCCATTGATTTAGGCATGAGAAACAGGACCAAATTGTTCGTTCTACATATTTGCTTGTTATTTAGTTACGACACAGAGTTTCATGTTCCGGGTTCGGGTGGTTGGTTGCCTTGTTGGGTTGTCTCGTGGTTTAAACCTCGGCTCGTCCTATCGTAGACTCCGGTACCACTTGTAGAGCCTCTACTTGGTGTGATATGTTTGGAATATTGTGATATGGTTGGAATATTCACAGCTGTACCTGAAAGCCTAGCCACTCATTCACTCTACATCCTGGATAAGTGAGTGAGAGTGAGTTCGGTTCATCGCCACTTTGAACAGTATTCTAGTTATATCACGGCGTGTCAGCTTAATGTGAGAGGAAATCAGAAATAATGCAGGTCTCAGGCGTTTACCACGAGCAAGGGTGTCGCCACTACATTCTGGTTTGCGATTGGGTAGCCCAGTGGATAAAAGCATTGATCTGTCATGACGGAGTCCTGGGTTCGACTCCAAAGATGGGTACATTCTGTGAAGCCAATCCAGTTGTCCCCTCCCCGACTGATCTAACTGATATAGCGCTGTATAACCATACACATTTACTCACTCACTCACCCTACACACAGACATACATACATACACACTCACTCACTCTCCCTCGCCCACTCACTCCACTCCCTAACTCACTCACGTTATACCTTGGAGTTTGAGTATGAGACCTTCATGAGATCGCCTTGGAGAATTCAAACCGGGGAGGATGACAAACAACGGTTTTCAGAAACGTGATATCTCAAAATATATTGATCGACAATAATATGAAAAGATTATTTTCTTCACAACAAAGCCTCGTTATTATGCCGTAATAGTATACCAAGTTATATGCTTATAATCGTCATATTTTATTACCTCTTTTGAGGGGCATTAAACATAAGCTTCTCTCGTCCAGTTCATTATCGCCTTCACATTGATTTGGGTGGTGGTGGAGGGGGGCTCCAATCACGGCTAATGTGTACCACCTGCAGCTCATTGTTCTCAGGGCTACGTTATGTCATATCGTTGAGTTGAGGTCCTTGTTCAATCGCCCCAACGATAATGCTCAATTAGCTTCAAACACTCGGTTTTATTTTCACTAACACATTATTATAAACATCTATAATGAGATTTAGTGAGTAAGTGTGTGATAATTTTCTTTACGTCGTTTATAACAATATCCTAAGAGTATTACGACACCAAGAATGGGCTTCATACTTTGCACCCATCTTTGGAATCGAACGGGGTCTTCGGCGTGACGAGTCACCACTTAACCATCACGTCACACCACTGACATTATTGGAATTTGGTATTTAAACGGTATTTTGTGAGACATTCAACTGCTTCTAGAAAAATAATGACTAACTTATATAGACATAAAAAAATATTGTCAAACAAAAGACATACATTGAAGTTCAAGTTATATCCAAAATTATAAATATTTTTTGTTTTTTGTTTACAATAATTATACCTTGGACATTGCAGGATCTATAATAATTACAAATTACATGTAACTAAACTGCAGGGTAGAAGAGAGTATGCACTTGATTGGATTTAATAAAAAAACACAACTATGGTACCCGTATCAATTACATCCCCATCGAATAGCCATGTCTATTTTTTTCTTTTTAAGCCACTATCAAACATTGGTGTATACTTTCTTCTGTCCGGCAGTGTATATAACATTCAACGCTGTTGAAGCGTCAATATTCATTGCGATAAAGATTAAATACTCCGACAATACTCTTTAAAAACTAAAAAAACATACGGTAACTTTATCTTCAAGCAATTATTTTTAAACCCTGCATAAAAAAATGATTCGAGTGCAGTCAGCATTGTCAGGTTGTCAGCGGGATCAAATCAGGACTCCGTGCGTAACCAATACTGCTGTTGCAAATGCGACTGTGACACTGTCGTATGTAATTAGTGATCTAAACCTCCAAGGTGGTCTGGGGACCAGCGGAGGCAGCGAGCCAGCTAAATTAACCACAGCGAGGTAGCTAGCAACCCTATCCCCGCTAGCTTATACTACCACCAACACACAGTTGATACCAAATAGATTCAGTGCCACCATTACGTATCAGATCCTCTTACGTGCACAATGAGCAGGTATGGGGCTCTGATTAAAGGTATTACTGTATCGCTAAGCTGTCTGTTTTCTGCTTGACTGTCCACCGTGTAATCTGACGTCGAAGTGGTCCTGGAGCCATTTGTTGTGAGTCATCCTTCACTTGACAGGCAAGGTATCAATCCGTAGTGGACGGGTCAGAATTGTCTATATTGCTCGGTGTCAGTGTACAGTCAATATGGTTCCAGCTGTTGTCCTATCTGCATTGTAGTGTACGGATAAAGATTACCCTCTATTCTTCTTCGGACTGTCGGGAGCATACACCAGTTAGTTGTCAATGCTTGTCTGTTGTGAACGGCTCCAAAACAAAGGTCTGTAATTCATCTTCGAATATCTTCCAAACGGATACAAATGGTTACTGATATTAACGATCAGTGTTTGGATTGTAACGGAGACAGGCTGTACGGAAATATTGCTAATTCGGCGTATAATATACAGACTCTTCAATGAACTACTGGGCTTGTAGTTATAACTGACACAAGAAGAGGTACTGTCACATGTTTTCGTGGTATTGTACAAGTGTTCATAATTTTGTCCTTATCACGTATTGGCGTAATACTGAACATTGATTTTTAACGATCTGAACCTTGGTGCTCGTTGGCGTCTGTTTGAAGACCTAGACATTCCACAAAGCCCTGATATCACTATAACAATACCTGTTTACAGTGAATCTGTCTTAATTAACCAGGTCCGATAAAACCTTGATTTGGTCCACATACCCGTCAAACAAGACCAGGGTCAACGGTATCAAGAGCTCTCCCCGGGGACTGCGATGTAATCAAAGCGACTGAAGTATTTTCTCGCTTCGTCGACTTTCCTGATATGATAGATATGTATATTTGACACGGATGTCAGTTTCTTTGACTTCACTATAGGAGAACGTATCCCAGTTGCTAAGTGTGCTGCGCCCACGACGTGAATCGCCTGCTGATACACGCCCATGTTATGACAATCTTATCTTTCTGTGTATAAACCCATAGCAGTCGATATTGGAGATATATTAATGTACTGAGCGACTGGTAAATTTGACCTCGTGCTTGGATTACATACATAACATCAGTTGTTGTTGTGGAGTCAAAACGGGTTTCTCCGATATCTTGTTTTGTGCTGAACGCTTACCCTACGTATTGAAGACAGGCAGTGTGGGTATCAGCTCACAGCAGAACAATCGGAGATTGATGACTATGTTGTCTTCTTAAGGCTGTGACTTTGAGTTACTGAAAATACACCCAGACTAGTACTGACGTTCATTTTACGTGTTATCCCTGATTTGTGCACGATGGAGGTAGAGGGGCTGAGGACGCTACCGAATGAAAGATCTAAATCAGATGATGCTCGGCCGATTCCAACAGAGGCAGAGCTGTCTGGTCAGAAGACGAAGAATATCAAGATGAAGCAGTACCTGTGTGTGAAGCACGCGTTACCTAAAACGAGGCTGACGCACACCATCCTTCACGAGAATGTGAGTCAGGACCGCCATCTTGAGATGACGCTGTCTAATATCCGGCACACCAGAAACAAGTCGTCAAACATTCATGATCTGACCAGACGAGCATTTGAAGCTCAGCAGTCAAGAAAGATGAAGAAGTGGAAGAAGGAGGATGAGAACCGAATCGCGGGGATGAACCTTCCTCAGATCAATCACCTCGAGATGGAATCAGCACCCGTCACGGTCGTCATCTACCGTATGCCTGAGCACGCTGAGCGCACGTGGAGCGGTGGAAAACGACAGCAACAGCTTCCGATGATGAAGGTGAGGCGGGAAAGGACGGAGATTGTGACTTACCAGGATAAAGCCTTTCTAACAAAGCTACCACCCGTAGTCGAGATTGATCAGAGAAAACTGGAGAAACACAATACTTATTGTGGAAAGGTTCTCATGGCTAAAGGGATGCCTGGTCAGGATCAGCGCTTCAAAGAACTCGCATCCACACTTAGCCCGGCCATGTTGAACGACAGAGACAAGTACCCAGTCCAGAATATGGTGATGAAGAGCAGAAGAGCGAAGTATGCTAATATATTCCCGTTGAACTCTGACCCTGGGTTTCGTAGGTCCCCGGATGTGAAAGTCATCGTAGCTTCAAGACCAAGGTCTGTGGTTAGTAGCAAGCTGTCGGACAAATCTTTCGGAAAAGGACCAAGGATGTTCTCATGCACCACAAAGAAAAGAAAGAAGAAAAGCGGAAAGGCTGCGAAAAGCGTCAGGATAGAGGAAACTCAAACCTTCCCAGATTCGAGTGGTCAGTCAGTGTTTTCAGGGGAGACAACTCTCGGAGACTATCATGAAGAAGGTAACTCCGGAGAAAGTATCTCGTCATAGAAATGGGAGACAACTCTCTGTGACCATGGTGAAGAGGATAACTCTGGTGGACATGCCTCGTCAAAGAAATGACAATATGTTTTGCAGTTGTTTCGTTTTTGACTCTCCTCGTGTCACACTTTAACCAGGTAAATATTTCAACATACGAAAACACTGTGAGATTGGTTTGAAGAGACTGTTTCCAAAAGAGGAAGTTGTTAAATGACAGGGAATAATGAACTAAGTGATTTTTCATCAGATCTCATCTATACATGTATATATAATTCTTTGATATTGCGATAAACCGTAGAAAGGATACGTTCGGTTTTATTTGTGTTTTGAAACTGGTTGTATTATTTAAATTTATGAAAGAACGGTTGATGGTAAAAACACTCACTGTTACTAAGGTATCAACGATTGCATTTTAACCTATTGCGCACCATTATAATAACAGTCAATGTTATTTCTCTAGTCACTTTTACCTGATGTAACCACAAAGCAAAGATTGTACATGAATTGTTTTGATTATATCCTATGTTTTGAATGGATTACAGTTTTCGTCAGTTGTGTATGCAGAAATACATATTCAGTGAGTGAGTGAGATGGGTTTAGCTCCTCTTTCAACAGGTTTAATTCAACATCACGGCGTGTCAGCTTAATGTTGGAGTAAATGCCGAACTGACTAATTGACTACTTGACGTGGACTTTTAAAACTTTGTTGAAACACAACCCAAACAAACTATCTTCAACTTCAAGGAGGGTCTGTAGTTGTTTACAAGCATTATACAGTGAAGGTAACAGCATTTATTTCATTGTCGCCACATCGATACAATGTGTGAAGCCAATGTCTGGCATCCCCCGGCGTTATATTGCTGGAATATCCATTTGCTAAAAGAGGCGTAAAACTATACTCACTATTGTCACAAAACTACTTTACAACAAGTGGTATCGAAATAAAGCATTTCGCCTCAGAACGTAGGATAAAGATTATCTTGCCTTTCATGCAAATTACTTAAAGGGGCACTGATCAAACGCAATTCCCCGGGACTGGTTGTTGCCTTTGTTATTGTTTTTCCCCAGTGAGTACCCGGATGTATAGCAGAAATCTAGACTAGTTCGCGACCTCTGCTGCGCCATTCGTAAGCGCATTAGTCACTTGTATAGGTAGTAATAAGGGCATATGGTCACATTGATCAACAAAATGAAATACAGTTTTCGAGATAATAAGGAAATGTAGGTATCTTTGTGGGTAGCATCGGTAATGGTGACGTAGTTTTGATAAGTCACTTGCTTGGTAATTTTGCGATTTTCGTTTACACTATTTTGACTTGCAACACAAAGTTTCACCTGAGCATTGCTTTTTGATAGTGTGTTTATTTTTGTCAAAATGTGTAACATTTTAAAATTTATTAAACGCCTAAATATTCAGTTATTTAACAAAGTGACTGAAAAACATTTCCATCTGTATAATTATGATAACGAATTCCAAACATTTTGATGTTTAATGTCATCACCAAGAGACTGAAAATGTTACGTTGAAAAGTACATTTCTATGTTGTTTGGCTTCTAATCCTACATAATAATCTGTTGTGATGTTTGTAGGCCCTTTTGATCGTCTTAATCAATCTGGACAGATTTTTTTAGTCAAAATGACTGAAATATTTACACATTTTATAAATTGCCTGAGAGAATTACATTTTACAAATTGACGGTAATGTATACACGCTTACAAGGGAAAAGGCCTGTGAAAACAACGTCTATCGCGCATTGAAGAATTTCCCAACCAAGACGTAGAAAAACAAGGACGAATCGGTTCAATGCTACAGCAAATGAAGGAAAACAAAATGCAAATACCATAAGTACTACCTACCAAATTTATGTGTATAAATTTTAGGCAGCTTCCTTGTTCGAGGAATGTATCCGTGAATATCCACACATAGGAACAATAGCCCACTCGTCTGCAGCTGTACAAAGAAACTTATTCGATGTCACGTGTCTCTGTAACAATCACATATTTTAAAAGATATATATCGTTTCGGGATATTATAACCCGTATTCGTTTCTCAACTGCTCACTTGGATTGTTTCAGGTGTTTCACATAGGTGTCAAGTCACAAGGGTCAGCTGAGAAAGCCCACGTTACAACTATTTTCATAACGTCCACGGTTCCTAAAAAATCCATTCATTTGAGTGATAGATAACAATGATCAATCAATCAACGTATTATCAGTTAACCCTTTGAACAAAGTATGTTGTTTTTACATCGGCACTTCACGCAAGGATATGAGTGTATTCCCTTTGTTTCAGTAAACCTAGACATGTAAACACTCACTTTTGACATATCCACTGTCCAAGATAACAGTGATTAATCAATCAACGTATTTTCTGTTAATCCTTTGATGACTAGGAACGATCCGTTGATTTACCAAAAAAAGGAAATCAACTGATCATTCACCTCTTGCTGGTCTGCCACGTGCATATTACATAACACACATTTCACCTCACTTCAAACCTGGATTTAGATTGAATAATTACCCCAGACACAATAAATGCCAAATGGGAACCTTTGTCAGGTAATCTAAGTGGTGCTTCCACTAATTGTACCTGTAATAAATTCATTAACTGAGCATCAAGTAAATGACGACAAATACACAAGTGTAGGGTTATACCAGAAAACGTGGATGACAACAAGGGAGTAGTAATCGTATTATCGACGCAATCCGAAATCCGAAAATGCTTTCACTGCATGGATACTTTTTTAGTGTTAAACTACAACCATCTGGGGTATTTCCAAATGACGACATCCGATGAGCTCCGCCGTTCTTTTTGTCTGTTAGTTTAGGCTGGAGAAATTAATTAACATGCGCCATTTGTCGAAATCTTTTTAGATCACAGTTAACCAATCAGTGTTTATGCAAAAATGCGTAAAACAAATGTTGCCTCCAGCCTCCAAGTTTATTTAGTTGTCCTTGCAGACGGTAGCAAGTCTCTGGTCACGCTCAGTTGCGTTGCGTATCATCCGGGTACTCACGGGGAAAAAAAACAATAACAAAGGCAACAACCAGTCCGGGGAATTGCGTTAGATCAGTGCCCCTTTAAGATAATGGATTCACACATGTACATATATGGAAATCGCATGGCGTGGGAGTTAACTGACTATTAAAGTCCAGTTTCCACTCTTGCCGGACTAGGCTGCAATTTAAAGGCTTGATCGTAGCGCCACCAGTGGCTTTTACAAGTTATGTCCTTTCTATGTCCTTCCTAATGACCAATCAGATTCCATCTCTCATATCACTTGCATTTGCTCAAATAAAATGGCGGCGCCCAGTCAAGACGATCTAATCGATTTATCAAAATCTATATTGTGATAAAACGGGTCTTACTTCGCAAAGTGCATGAAATCACGTGAGCACCTTGATTAAAAAGATGAAACGATCTGGAAAGTATCTGTTGACGCCGAGATGGCGGTACACATGCTTTTCAAATCCTGCAATCGACCAAAATCTGTTTACGAACCGGATGTCGATTTCGTTGCGCGATTTTGATTGGACTATGAATATACTCATTAGTCCATCCAAAATATAATTCCATTACAACTCACCCCCACACACTCCCTTAGTCCCAACCACTCCCCCAAGGCATGTCTTCCAAATCTCAAAATTTCAAAACTTTATATAAGCAACCACTAAACCCCCCTCCTTGGTTGCACTCTTCTCTCTTCCCCTTTTATATCACTAAATGGCCCGGCCGGGCCCGTGTGCGAAATACGCTCCAGTCGGAAAGCGCACGTAAAATCCCCTAATATAAGTAAGTAAGTAATTCCATTATTCCAGCCAAGTTCATTAAGGGTGGAAACTGGACTTTTACAGTCAGTTAACTCCCTTCACTCTGGAAGATGCACTGCGAGCGAACGCTTTAACCACTTGGCTCTCTGTCACCCGTCTAAGAAGGTAGCGATGTGGGAAATGTCAAATGGCATGTTTTAACTGAATGTTTGTAGCTGTTTATAATTCTTGGGGTCGCGTGAAGTTCGTTGCACTACCTCCCACCCATTCATTTGTTGTATTGATACCGACATACGCCTTCATGTGCATTTTCGTGTATCATTTGATAGACCTAACGCACCGTGTCGTGGTGTTATGGATAGAGTGTCTGCCCAAAGGGCGGAAGGTCGCTGGTTCGACCAAATACGTTAAAAGATGATACATATTGTTACACTGCCTGGCACTCGGCGTTAGGGGCATAGAACAAGGACTGGCTCGCTCGGAGCAAGTATGATGTATCTGAGTGCAAGCAGTATAAAACCGATATAATTCTGGATTAGTACAAGCAGCCACAAACACACAAACATGTACGTCGCTATATGAACGATATAATCTTGAACGCGACGTTAACCCCATTTCACCCCACTTCACAGAACTACCCACGTGAAACACCATGTGAATCTGTGCCGTCGCTTTCCCGCTCGCTGATCTCAGCACAAGCCTCAGGTCTTTCAGGTGTGTGTAATAAAATGCCAACGGGGGTAGGGGACGGGGGTAGGGACAGGAAGCGTAAACCACTTTTCATACAAAGGTGTACCAGTCGTGGATGTTGATTTTGTGAATCGTTCTCTTATTGGACTATCGATATATGCGATAGTCCAATCATATTTAACACAGGAAAGTAGGCTTGATGTGGCAAGGGTGGAAACATGACTTTGCTACAAAAGCTAGCGGACACTGCTGAAAAACAAACAAGAAAAGTGTAGATTGAAACGTCTAAAAATCAAAAGAGAATCACGAACAATAAAAGGGAAACTCAAAATATAAACTCTTCTGTGTTTCATGATTGGTTTTCAAGAGATTTTATGATTATTCATTGTTATATTGCCATTTGTTCTCATTTGACTTTAATCGAGTTTTAAGGTACACAATTCCTATATTTATGCTTTTGTTGCTTTGATATATATTTCTAATGATTTGCTCAAGCAAAGTCTGAAAACCTGTAGAATTCTGAAAGAAAACGTGCAATACACGGAGTTATATGGAAAGGCACATTGCAAAAACATATCATCGTCCCTTACGGGCCAGCGTAGTTACGAGTGCGACATGCGTGTGAGAGTGTCCTGGCTGGTTGTGTGTCATCACGGAGAGAGTCGATGCTCATGCAGTCAACCACTGGTTTGCCTTTCCCAGAATCAATATTTACCTTACGCAGATAGATATACGGATAGTTACCAAAATGAGGAAAAGACAAGAGGTATCAAATCTACAGTTAAATTACCTAAATTGTCTAAACACAGCAGGTTTTGCTCCATTCTACAATTAGAACGAAACAAACGGTACTCTGTTGCAACGCATAATTACAAATGGGTAAATAGTTCAGCTGCATAAGAAGATTTCGAAAAGTAGTGAAACGCGTAACAAATATTACTTATGTGCGAAAATACGACAAACCAATTAGAATGCGCGTATGATTTCAAGTTCTTCGTCAAAGAATCCCTCAGAAATAATTTTTGATTTTCCATATGTCTTGCATCTAAAAATATACCCAAGACACAGTTAAAT